AAGAAGAAGAAGAAGAAGAAGAAGAAGAAGAAGAAGAAGAAGAAGAAGAAGAAAAAGAAGCAGCCTAAAGTAGCGCTAAGGGACTGCACAATCCCCGAGTGGGTAGCGCTAGGGGACTGTACAGCAACAACTTCCATACATTATATCAATGGTGAAAAATGAAAAAAAAACCCCACGTGTTCGTAGAAATCAAATACTGAATATTGTACTTACAAAAGGATTTTGCTTACAAATCCATTCCTATATAATTGCTAGAAGACACACGTACGACCCTTATAAAAAAGAAGTCATGAGGTTAAATAATTTTGATTTAATTAAGTTATTTTAAAAATAGAAATATACGTCATTCTTTTCCCACCCCATTTTCCAAATTCACAAAATCAGTACCACACATGGCTACCAACGCTTGATGACTGATTTGTCGAGGCCTGCTATGATGTGGCTGGAATAAAGTCCTGGAATCTGGTCTTTAATGTCTCAAGTTTATCTCCTGAGGACGATTCCTGCAGCGCCCATTGACACGATCGATTCGGTTTGCTAGCCCGATCGAGGACGGACAGCGGCTGTCGTGGCACAAACCGATCGCACGACTCGTGGCCTAAAAAACAAAACGTGTTTGTTTTCAAGCGACGAGTTGGGCGATTGGTTGGCGATCGTGAGAACCGATCCCCCAATGGGCACTCCGTATTACAGTTCTCACAGAGCTTGTTAAATTATTAACCCTGGGATAGTAAGTGTGTTCGGTGATGCAGGATGCAATCTTAGTTTTAGTAAGTGTTTTACGGCAGTAAAGTCATGTAAGTGCCGAAGATTAGAGGTGTTACAAGAGAGTAACAAACACTAAAAATAAGAAGGGGAAATAAAGGCGATAGATGTTTGTTAGAAAATTTTTTTTAAAAAGCAAACCACACCAGAGCTCCCGCCGGAGACAAAAAAGTATCCGCTCCCGCCAACCACCGACGGATGCACAATCTGTTCTGGAAATCAATGCAGTGGGTGTGTCGGTCTTGTCTCTGTGCTGTGATCTGAGGCCTGCAACTTTTTGGTCAATCGTTCGTCGTCCAACACGCCCCGACACGTATCCATACCGTCCATTGCTGTTTCTATGGACATTGAGACTTTGAGCCACATTCTGCCTTGTACTTCCAGCCTGGAGCATTCCTAACGCTTACTATTTCTTTTTCAACAGGTGTGGCATGTTTTGAAAGCAAACAAATCTCTTTGTTTAATGTTTTCGTCACTAACACACGTAAGTGAAGTGAATGAAGTGAATCCTACACTCACATTCTAAACAGGGGTATACACAATTGAAGGATGAGGTTGTGTTAAATAAGTCTTAAGTCGTGGATCTTATTGATTCAGAAAATAACTTCTGACCATTCTTTTATTTCACATATCTGCTGTGTCATGTCCTTCTTTCTGTTCTATTTAGACTGTTTAGCGTGGTCTGCCCCTGCCCTTGTATCCTGGCCGTTTTGAGTTGTATATTCGTGCAGATGGTTGGTTTGGGGGCTTACTTATCCGATGACATAAACATTTGATTCTTTGGTGTTCGATATGTAAGAGAGAGAGTAAGAGAGAGAGAGGAAGAGAGAGAGAGAGTAAGAGAGAGAGAGAGAGAGAGAGAGAGAGAGAGAGAGAGTGAGAGAGGGGGAGAGAAAGCAAGAGAGAGAGAGAAAGAGAGAGAGTAAGAGAGAGAGAGAGAGAGAGAGAGAGAGAGAGAGAGAGAGAGAGAGAGAGAGAGAGAGAGAGAGAGAGAGAGAGAGAGAGAGATCTCAGACCCTGCTCTACAGCAAACCAATCAGCGTGGGAACATCCTGCATCCTATTCTATCATCCCGGGTCAAAATTTGACCCTGTTGTTTATTAGACGTTACCTCATCTTTTTTATTTTTTTTGAACACAGACACGAGGTGTAAAACTTATCCCCCCCCCCCCCCCCCCCAAATCCCCTAGCTCTTGGTGTTCTGTTGTTCACCCATTTCTGTCTCCATCTGCCTCTCTCGTTCTTTCCGTCTTGCTCTAAACCCCGCCCCTACCCCGCCCCCCCCCTCGTATGACACTTTTTGAAGAGTTGCATTTTATTTCCGGTACAACAATCATTTTTGAAAAGTTATTTCTAAAATTTAATTTGTAAGATAGCCCCAGTACTTTGGATCTGGTTAAATAATATTGTCAGGTAGGGTACAGAAACAAAGTTTGGAGAAAAATAGTTTTAAAGTTTCCGTTAGGTCTGGATCGAGTTATAGGCTACTCCAAATAATGAATATAAATCAATCGGCCAGCCGTGCTGTTTGTCTCTTAAACCCTTGACAACACTGTTACTACTCGAAGGCTAACTTTTACAAAACAGTTGTAGACTATTGAGCACTTTAAAAGTATTATTGAAACGTTTAAGAGCACATTCACGTTCAATCAGAACTAGAAATGTCGTAAAGGAAGTGCCTATTTGCAACGCCGCGTTGCGATTAGCGCCAGTGCTAAATAAAACAAAAACGCCGTGGGTTAGCCTATGCTATATGAAGCTTAATCTACCTTCCGATATTGGAAGTTCTGATGGTCGAAGTGACAGGGCGTCTGCGTTTGAAGCCAAACCATTATTTTAAAGGCGTGGGTTCGATCGGAGGCCTGGACGTTTTTTCCCCCCCTATTCTCAACTGACCAACAAATTTTTCCTATAATTATAACTTGTTGCTTGGTAGTTTTTATGTAGTGGAGAAGCATGCACATTCTGGTTTTGTCCCCAAGAGGAGCTCTGTACAAAGTAGGCCTTAGTAGGCATACTTTTCCTTTTCCTTTTACTAATTTAGGCCTGGTTAGTGGGTTTCCTTGGTCTGTGAGTCTAATTATAAAAAAAAAAAAAATTTTATACTCTGAAGAAGAGAAAAAATACCTTCCGGGACCTGGATTCGATGCCGCGCTTGGAAGCACTGAACATTAGACTTAGACCTAGAGAACGTAGACAGCTTTGTATAAGTTCTCTAGGCCTAATTTAAAGATAGTATTTCTAGGTAGACCTAGAATCTAT